GATGAACTTAACCAGGCCGAGGACGCTTCTGTCTGTCTGTCTCGTCCCCGTCTGTGAATCCCCGTCGTTGCGGTCACAAGAGAATGTGGTCCCTTTCCCCTTTCTTTTCAAAGCCAAGAGAGTGTCATTTGACGACTGTTGTGAACGATTGTATTTGTCTTTTTTAAGGAGTGTTTTGGAGATCGTGAGGAAATGTATTTCATTCAAAAACCAAAATTATGTTCCTTTGACTAACTTTTTGGTAGTCCTTGTTGTTTTGTATAAAATAAAATACATTCTAAGCTATGTGTTTGTCTTGAAATCGATGTTTTTGAAAGTTATGTTGAGCTTTATACACACAATTTTACATTTTATTCAAAAATTAAAGGCACACTGTCATTTTTTCCACTAGGTTGTTTGATCAAAACAAAGGCATAGCTTGATGACGCCTTGATTTTGTGGAATCATGGGAGTTGTTGTCTTAACCTCTACAGCTGGTGGATAATACAACAGAAATGTATGTGGGGTAACGTGCCATAGACATATACACTTGACCTCACCTTGGCTAGGGCAGTTCATTGGAACGAATGCGGCTGCCATCTTGAAACAGGGGAGCCCCTCCACTTTAATGCATCAGCGTCAATGTAGTAGACAGGTCTAACGGAAATAAAATCACCATAAATCATCATGAATGCGATTTTTCTTGTTTTTTTGGTTTGTTCCAATGGTCAGACATGTATCATTGATTCCAGAAAGAAAAAATGTTTTAAAAACATTCTTCTTAGTTCAGATTTCATCCGTGAACATCATACGCTGCACAAAAGTCCGCCACCATCAATGAATTCGAAGTAAAGGCAGAGATAGCAGCGTTACCTAGCTACTTCCTATGACAAGACCCCTGTTCCAAGATGGCGGCGGTTTTGACGCATGCTTAGAACCCCAAGGTGAGGTATGTCTATGGGGTAACGCAGTCTTTAACAAAAAGACTGTTGAGCTGTATAACAATGATTCATTTTCTGTAAATAAATGTATCCAAACAGTTGCTCACCCGTCTAATAACATAATATATTAAAGCGTCATATGTTTCCATGGTTTCTAGGAAATCGAGGGTTACGCGGGTATGATGTCATTGAAAGGCAACGCACAGATCGACACAGTGCTTATTTCTGTTATTTCTCTGGATTTAAACATTATTAGAAACATTTGGGATAATGTAAACACAAACCAATAAAATATATTACAATGTTCTAGTGGTTTTTGTATATTAACAGCTGTATGTTAACAGCTGATACCGAACTTAAAATCTTTTACGGCAGGCACAGCTACTTCCACCTGGCTGAACCATGGGCTGAACCGCCACCGAGGGGAATGAAATTACCTCTTCCCCGTTAACATTGGATGCTGAGGAGAAGAGGAGTGAAGAAAAGTGTGGAGAAAGAGACGGTGAGTTTGATAAAACAGGTTGAGGGTAACAAACGTGAGTCACTCCCACCTGAGACTAACGTTAGCCTGAGGTGAGAAAATCAGAAAGAAAAACGTATTTAGATGAAAAGGAAGGCAGTGTGCATTTGTAGACCATGAGTAAAAATGAGCATACAAAAACAACAAGCCATTTGAGCGGTCTTTACCTCTGTAAACAACATAACATGCATGTCTTTGCTATTAACATTTTTAAACTTAATAAACAATAGGATTAAAGTTTTGCCCCAAATCCAGTCAAAAATTCTTCACGTGATTATCCTTTTTAATATATCAGTGAATCAATTTTAGGGGTGGATCACACGGAGGGTGCAATTTCTTGCGAGATGTTGAGGGTACAGAGATCATCTGAGCTTTCACCTTTGAAGGTCTCCTTAGAATTCAAACCAAGTAGTCAAGACACGCACTCTTCCTTAAGTGGAAGCCCACTACCCATAAATCACCAGCTCATTCATTAGCTTTGTGTCAGTGGAGACACGCCCAGGAGGGCCAGAGGGGAGCGAAGCGCAGTCAAAATACCATTCTACCATTTCCATGTTAATTACAGAACCCAGAGATGGATGCCTTCAACCTCATTGTTCATTTAATGTATGCAAAGCACATGCAATTGCCACATTAAAACCAAGAGGACAATGTTCAAACAAGCTAGTAAAACAGTGGCTTTGGCATTTGGCTTTGAAATCAATGTCAAGGTGTTTTACGACAAACACCAGGTTAAATCGGTTGAACGCTCTTTAGAGACGAGGAAAGCGTGTTTAGAGTCGCGCAGCTGCCAGGCTGTTAGCGAGGTACGAAGACTCATTTATGTGGCGAGTGAGCAATGTTTGTGCCTCCGAGATAAACTGAACCATCAGCCCGTGAGAGGTTCTTGAATACGCAGTCAACTGTTTTGGTGTAATCTCTGCAATTCTTGACCAATTGCACATGTTTTTTTTCCCTCTGCAGCTCCGGTTGAACTGGCTTGGATTTGCACACCCTGCTTGTGGAGCGAAGGCTTTGGGGAACAGAAGGACCCTTGAGTTTAATCTTTCTCAGGGCAGATCTGGGTCAGTGAAGGCCAACAGAAGGCTGGATCCCATGGGGTCTGTGCAAAACACTCTTGCCATTTCTCATCTCCACACACACCCGCCTCTGAACCTCCGACTGGGCACAGGACCGCGGGTAAGCCCACTCAACTGGATGGCGCACCACGCAGAGGCTTTAATTTTCATTTAGTGTGTTGACAGATACGGAAAAGAGAGATGACTCAGGTGTTTCGTATTTATGTCAATTTGGCTAATAATTAAGAGCTGCGATGTATTACCCAACACATTCTCATCCCAAGACGTCATCTAACTGACGCTTTTGACCATACGTCAACATCCGACGTTTTAGGGTACCCTTTAACATCAGTTAGATGACGCTATCCTAGGGCGTCATCTAACTGACGCTTTACCTTTAGTGTCAGTTAGATGACGCGGGTAGGTTTAGGATTAGATAGCGCCATCTAACTGACGTTAATGGTACCCTAAAACGTCGCATGTTGACGTATGGTCAAAAATGTCGGTTATATGACGTCTTGGGATGAGAACGGGCTGTATTACCTTGGAAATCTTCCTGGAAACATTTGGAGCTGACATGAGTTTGGAGACAGAAATGCTTGGTTTTAAATTTCCCTGGCAAGTGAATTGTTAGTGGAACAACTGGAACCGTTCCTTACCATTTGAAGAACTGTTCGTCTTGGTGGTGGAAAAGTGTCTTTAATTTCTCTTTTGAAACTTTATATGTCACAATTTCAATTTGTGTATTTGCAACTTATACAATTGCAACTATTTCTCACAATTATAACTTTATTTTTTAATTTCTCTATTTCTCAAGTTTGTGACTATTAATTGTATTTGCAACTTTATTTCTCATATTTGTAAGACTTTTGATCTAACAATTGTGGCTTAATTTGTTGTATTTGCAACTTTTTATCATTGGTTACTATATCGTACCATGTATCTGAACAAGATGTCCAGGACCTCCAGCAAAAAAATATGCCCACAACATTAAAGATCCAGCAGTGTATTTAACCATACTTTTTTATCCCTGTTTGCACCAAACACATCTTTTGTTTTTGTTTTTTTTGCTCTGGTCCCTTTTTTTGTTTCATCTGACCATAGAATCCGGTCCCTTTTGAAGTTCCGGTCGTCTCTGACAACTCAAGCTGGAGTTTATTTTTGGAGGAGCGAGGAGGATTTTTCTTGAAACCCTCAAAAATAACATGTTTGAGTTGTTTGAATTTATTAGTTTATTTATTTTTGGCTTTCTGACCCCAAGACTCAACTAATCTCTGCAGTTCTCCATCTGTGATCCTTGGAGAGCCTTTGGCCACTCAAACTCTCCTCCTTTGCAATAGACACACATCCTCTTCCAAGCAGATTCATAGCTATTTTTTACAGCCACTTTCTATTTGTGATGCTGAACTTGAACTATCTTTTTCTGCACATCAGAACTATATTCAGTGGTTTTACTCATTGTGATGGATGATTAAGGGAATTTGGCTTTTGTATTTTCTCAAATTTATACTCTTGTGAAACGAAGTCATACACTGTAGCTTGACAATGTCATGCTCCTAGACACCCTGGTGCTAAAAAACAAAACAAAAATATTTAACAGGAATATACTTCAGAGATATTTGACTAATTCTAGGGGTGCCAATAATTGTAGTTAACGTGTTTTGGAGAAAAACATTTATTTCATAATGTGAATTTTCCCCCTTTATTAAAAAAAAATGAAAAGTTCGATTTTTGCGATTTTTTTTTTTTTTAAAGCTACACTGTGTGATTTTACCCCATCTAGCGGTGAAAAGATAATGATCATCCAGTGAATATTAGTTTCTGTTCCTCTCCTACGGTGGCCAATGTAGTTCAAGATTAACATGGCTTCCAGTTCGACCTCGTCCATGAGTGTTAACTCAAACGTAAGCGCGAAAACGTAGCTTGAATTAACGGGTATGTCCCTCTTTGGCTAATGTACTTTCAAGATGGAGGGGCAACATGGCGACCGACATTAGAACCCCTTACCCGTATGTATTTTCAATGGCATATTATACACTCACGAGAATACTTTATTACTTGAACGAAGTAAATGTACATTAATGAGCACATACATTTTTGAAGTGTTTTTAGCTAAGAATAAACTAAAAGAGTTACACAGTCTAGTTTTAAATCATATCAAATCATCTTTGATCAGGGGTGCCAATAATTCTGAGCACAACTGTATTCTGTACTTTTATATATACTTTTATAATCAAACCATCATAACAGTGTCGACATGATGCAGATGAATTGCAGAGCTGGTGCAAACATATATCCACATCAATATGATTAGTTGCTTTCTTAACTGCTACTTTCTCACTGCTGTTTTTGTGTGTGTGTGTTTATTTTGTTTATTTTAGAGGAAAGTGCGCAGTGCATATTCATCTAAACGCCGCTCTCAACAGCGTGGATGGCGTCTGGATGTTAACAGTATATCGCTGCTAAAGGTATTTTCAAGAAATTACAACTTCACCAAGCAAAGAATGAAAAAAAGAATTCACGTTTAATCTCTTGCACATTCATTTTTCAATAAAACAGGAGGAGAATTTTTTTTTTTTTAGATTTGCATTAACGAAGGAATTGTTTAATGCAAAAAATAATCCTTGGGGACAAATATGGGGTGCTCTGCTGTGACAAATGAAAGAAAGAAACAAGAGAAGCAAAAGTTGGAAAACATTTTAGTGTGGTCATCATGCATGGCAAACTGGGTCAAAGGATTACCAGCAGGCTATAAAAAGATGCCTTTTTGGCCATACACGAATTCAAGGCTGTAGATCCAAGTAGTGTGTTTGTGTGCACATGCATAAAAGTGTGTATTGGGGGAGGTGTGTTTGGTGCCAGGCATATGGCCGTAGGGAGAGAGAGAGAGAGAAGGGGACAAGTGATAATCCCTCTGCAGTCATGCCATGGTCACTTGTGTTTTCTCTGTCTGTGTGTGTGTGTGTGTGTCCAGCGGGTGTCTAGGGTTGTCTGATTCGGTCCTACTGGCTTGCGGTGAGGATTAGAGCTCTGGAGGGCCGTACATGTTCTCTTGACAGACCTCTCGTGCACCCTTAACTACGAGACAGTAGGTCACAAATGCAACAAACACAAACATATGTCACTGATCCATCCAAGAGGCAGATACTTGCGATAAAATACTCATTTATTAACTTTTAAAGGCAATTAGTAAAAATAAAATGAGCTAAAATGTGACTTTTTAGTAGTGCCGCAAGTGTGAGGAATATTTGACGTGCATAAAAAAGACAATATTTCTAGTCAAAAAAAATACTACCAATAATCAATAAAAAATCTAAAGTTGCTAAAATTGTTCCATTATATAGCAGGTTAAATGCAAACTTAACTAAAATAAAATTTAAAGAAAGAAATGTGTTTGAATTATAAAATAATATACAAAACATCTTGTATAATATCTCCTGTGTATTTTAGATAACTCTGTCATATAAAAGCGTATTTGATTTATAAAAGCGTATGTGGAGGTTTATTAAATAAAACTGGTTTATTTACATGTCTGCGAATGCCAAATATGAATGTCCTGTACAATAGTCTTTATTATGGTGTGGTGTACACGGCACACACTGTACCTTACAGCGGTGTGTTTTTCCATTCAATTGACCTTGCTACAAACCCAAGACCAACAAAACTACAAGGAGAGGGGGGTTGCCCTGAGGAACGCAGGGAAATGTAGTCCATAAACAGCCCGTAAGCGTGTACAAGTCGATCATCGGTGCGAGGGGGTCTCCAGATGTCCTCTCCAGTGCTCGATGCCTGAGTGTCTGCTAGATGTGGCGGTTCTCCTGGTCTCTCTGGAGGCTTTGAACTGGGCCTCCAGCTCCTCCACCCACGCGGTGCTCCAGTCCCACACGGGCAGCGGCTCCAGCTCTCCAAAACACTCTCGAGGGGGGAACAGGACACTCAGGGGGGATGCAGGCGGGGAGAAATCTGCAGAAAATGCACGATCACACACACGTTACAAAGGAAATCAAGAGAGATGTATGCATACACATGCACATAGACACAATATACACAACCAAAGGCAATCTGTTAATACGTATAAAGTCGCACAAGTCAATTTGATCATTATACCGCTGAATAATAATGCATAACCCATCGGCTACAATGTACTAGTCATTTAACCTGATGCATTCACGGAGATTGAAAGACAGAGAGAGAGAGAGAGAGAGTGAAAGGGGGAAACAATCAGCAAATGGAGAGAGGAAAGTCCCTGTAGGTTTCTCTTTTGAAAGGCGTGATTGATTTGCTGAAACTTCAGAGAGGATGGTGGGGGAGTTCAGACAATTTGCAGACAGGTCCTCAAATCCCATTATTTCTCATTGTACCAAAGTAGGGCTGCAATTTTTCACTGTCTCATCGGGAAGCGTAACGCTGCGGTGCCTTCTGAATGTGATCTGACAATGAGGATTCTCATCCAAAATACAGTTCTCCAATTAAGTTATGCAACGATCCCAAAAGGTGCTTAAGTGACGCTTTAAATAGTTTGAATGTGATTCCATTATAAAAAATAAATAATGCTAAAGTTTTTCTCAGTACTAACCTCACTTTTTTTTTAGCCATTAGTTTGAATATGCTCATCTCAAGATGAAGGCTGGTGTAGTTTATCACAATTATGAATATGTTCTATTTAAATTTGACAACTTAAAATTGTCCAAAAGCATTTTTATCTTCATTTATCATTTAAAACCTATTTTGCTTGTGCTGTCTTCCTATAGAATAAAAGCAACTTGGGTTGATATTTTGTCATTTAAAGGGATAGTTCACTTTGAAATACATTTTTGGTATGTTTCAGCTTACCTCAAGGGCATCCAAGATGTAAGCTGAAACGATTTTTTAGGTCAAACCGTTCTTGTCTGTCAGCCATATAATGGAGGTCTATGGTCACCACCTCAAAGAGCATGCACAGTGAAGTCCAAATTAAACATGATTTAATGACTCGTAAGTTCACAGACGAAACGAGCGGTTTGTGTGAGAAAACGAACAGTATTTATATCATTTTTACTTCTTGTAACCACAGCAACATCCAAGTGATCTGAGGGCACGGGTGCTTTGTGGCTGTGGTTAAATGAGGTAAAATCGATATAAATACTGTTCATTTTCTCACACAAACTGCTCGTTTTGTGTCTTAGGGCATCAATGTGTCCTTACATTTACGAGTCATTAAATCATGTTTAATTTGGACTTCTCTGTGCATGCTCTTTGAGGTGGTGACCATAGACCTCCATTATATGACTGATAGATATCAAAATTAAAACTACTGCAGAAACAAAGACACCTACATCTTGGATGTCCTTGAGGTAAGCTAAAACATATCAATAAGTAATTTCAAAGTGAACTATCCCTTTAACGCAATGATATTCAAATATTAAAATGTGAGTAAAGTGACTAGATATTTTAAGGCCACTTCATTGAATTGAAGTGAATAAAACAGCTTTCCTAGCTCAAACAGTAGAGCATTGGCGGAAAGCAAGAACTGATAAAAATGTAAAAATGTGAATCTTTTATTGCAATGTAATTCGCTTTGGATAAAAGCGTCTGCCAAATGCATAAATGTAAATTAATATTTACATAATACTTATTTGTTGACTATGCAAATGAGGCAGAAAAATACTGCTCAGCCTTACTGAGAAATGATTTAATGAACTGAAAAAAGGTGGTGAACGACAAATAAAACAGAAATGTGATTAGTTTTAGCAACTAATGCAGCCAGACTTATAAATAACTTATAAGTCTGCCCATCAGAACAGGTTTAAACAAGGTCAAATGTGAGATCTGAGAGTACAATACAATTCCACAATAAGCTTGATTAAGATTAGCCCAAATATTTGCATTTACGAACATTTTCACCCAAATGTTTTTGCTTTATTTCATCACGCACTACTTAAACAGTGGCCATTCCAATTGTGTGGAAATCAGCAGATCTCCCATGTGCCGAATCCGTGTGGAAAGCCACAGACCTCGACTGCATGAGCAGATTGTTCCACCTAGTGGCCATTTCTGTCAACTACATCAGTATTGCTGTTAGCAAACTTGATACTTGAATAATCACGTGGAGGCTATAAATAAAACAACCTAATTCTACAGAGGTTGAAGAGAGTTATGTCTTGCCTGATAAAGTACCGCTCATAGACTCGGCTGTCAGAGCCAGGACGCGGGCAAAGTTCGCATCGTTTATGAACGAGCAGTCAGAAGAGCTGATGATGCTCGTTCGAGCGCTCGCCGCGTTGCTCTCGGACACCGAACCCCAGCCGTTCCACAACGAACCCTCCCATTCGCTGTAACAGGAGGAGGGCGTGCTTCTCAGGGTGGCTCCCCTGAGTCCGATCGGCTGGCACCCCTGCTCATCATCCATCTCCTTGTCGACGGGCCCGCAGATGTAACCGAACGTGGGCGTGGGAGAGAATGGACGGGGCATTGATGGAGAACTGATGGGAGACATCAAAATCAGCCCTTGATACTTTATTCACAGAAATGCTCTTTCAGGTGTTCTCATACCTCGGCCCCTGTGGTTTAGGGCTGATCTCCATGTACTGACTGTGGCCCTGAGTACTGAGCGTGGTGTCCTGGTAGTCATCGGTGGAGAGACAGAAGGAGGCAGTGGACAGGTGGCTATAGGACGGGCTGAGCTGGGCCGGACAGCCCGTAGTGGTCGTAGTGAAACCCTGGAGCCCAGAGGCGGCACACACAGACTGCTGAGAGCCGATGTCGACCGTCAGCTTGGTGGATCTGGTCGACCTGCGGGATCAGATATGTTTAAATTCACACTGGCATACTACTCATGATTAAGAAGGTCAGTCTTATGCACACCCCTTCAAGTAAAGTGTTACCCATATTCCTAATTCACGCTCAAGATATGTTTTTTTCACTGTGACTAAGCTATCCTTATTCATTTTATAGCTCTATAAAACAACTATTTCATTTGTGTGTAAGATATTTTACATCTGAGACAAAGTACTTGCATGAAACATAAACAACAACCCCATTATGTCTAAAAAAACCTCTCAGCTATTAAATGTTCTTTTAGAAAGGTGTTAGTGTGTTTTTTTATGAGACTCTGAATGGGCAGTTCTGTGTTCGTTCCTGCTAGCTAGTTTAAACTTCCTGTTTGTGTCCTGCATGCATTTAAAACACACTTCCCCTCACTTACAGACCTTCTAATAAATAGTGTGGGCCATTTCCCCTTCTGCCTCCCTGTCCATTAGAGTTGAGATACAGGCTAAATTGGTTTCCAGTCTTTTAGTCTGAGAGCAGAGAGAGACAGTAGTAGATTCTCTCTTCTCACGCTATAAAGACATGGGATTGTCACAGACACTGTCATTACGGACATGCAGGGGCGCAACCCCTCAAGTTGTCTGTGAGAAATGAACATAAATCTTGAGCTCTGTTTCAGCAGTAGTGATTTAGCACCACTCACATCCTGCTGTGACAGAATGCTGAATCACTGACGTTTATCACCATTTATGAGGAGAAACACAATCTAAAGTTCTAGTTGATTCCTGTGCACTGAACTTTCCAGGAAGTTTACAGCTTCTTTATAGATTCAGAAGTTGTTACACACAGTGCTCTGATTTCCCAAGATCTATTTTTAATACTCCTTTTTAATGCAACATAACAGCAAAATAATTACAGTAACTAACACTAAATGTTAAAATGTATTGGCATATTTAGAAAGTAACATTACATGATAGTTCACCCAGCCCCAAAAAAAGAATTTGTCTCATTTTCCTATCTTCAACTCATTCCAAATCTGTATGACTTTCTTCAAAATAGCTTCTTTTGTGTTCTGCAGAAGAAAGCATGTTGGGACGCAAGCTACACTGGAGCCAATTGATGTCATTACGCGCTCCAGACTGCCATTAACACACTCAGGACCGTTAGCAGAGGCTGTGGAATACAGGTAATAATGTTCTAGTTTCTTTCACATATTGATGGTTTCACTACACAAGACCCCAAATGTATTGTCAGGAGCTACGGGTATTAATTTTGTTTTGCTTGTCTATGTTTTTGTTTTTTTTTACTCTTAAAGTGACGGTAGCTGATGTTGACTTGCATTATAAGAATCATCAAGGACAACAGTTTCAGCTAAAGATTTTCTTTACATTTCTACTGAAGAAAAAAGACCCCTTAGGGTGAGTAAATTAACAGCAAATTAATTTTTAGGGTGAACTAGATGAATAAATGCAGAAAAAATTGGTAGTTCATGATGATACCTAATGCATTACCAAATATTTAACCAATTGACCCTTCACTGAGCCACGCCCGAAAACAGCAACTGGCCAATCGTGTCTTAGCAACCGTAACTAGGCGCTGGAGCTTTCGAGCAAGGGAAACATGCTGAAGGATTGTACTTAACATATGGATTGTGCAAATCTGATACTCTGTATCCTAAAAGTTTTGACGGTGGATTTTTTTCCTTCCCGAAAATCTAAAAGCCGAGGGGAGAAATGATGGGTGTGATCAAGCAGTGGGAGACCCATTCACAACTAAATGTCGACAGGATTAACAAAAAACACCTGTTGCTTGGAAATATTGACGGTTCTTTGTTCATAATGCATATATTTTAACGTAAAATAAGACTATATATTTATAGCATTTATATTTCAGCATTTTGTTTATCGACGGCCTACTACCCTTAAGTAACTTTAACCCAATCCGATCTCGGCTCTCCCGGTGTTAGTGTTATTCCACAAGATTTATGGATAAGCTGTTTGATTTATAACTATTAGGATCATTTTCATATTTCACATACCCTGCTGTGCACGAACATAGCTGTTCCTCAATTTGTGTTTCCCATTTGAACGATCAGCATAGGATGCTGCTGCTTGCACTGGGACGATAGGTTTTAGCTTCAATTTTTAAGAAATTATTCTCTAATCGGTTGCATATTATGTCGTGGATATATCCCTCGAATGAAATACTGCAGTCCCTTTTGTCTAGCCCTCTCAGATATTTCACATGTTCACCAAAAATGACTAATTATCTGATTGGGAATGTCTGACACCGGTGCATACACACTGTAATAGATGTGCCAGCCACGAAAGCTTGACAGGCGTAGCAACAGTAACTAGGGAGGGCGGGGCTTAGCGAAGGGTCAATTGAACCCTATTATAAAGTTTTAACAACATAACTAAAATGTCTGTTGGGCTAAAAAAAAAAGTAAATTTAGCTCTGGGTGTCGGTGTGATTCTCACTCGTCCTCTGAGCTGAGGCTGTGGTTGTCCTCCACTGGAAGAGGCGGGGGGCTGGGTAACATGTCCACCAGCTGCAGAGAGGTGGAGTAATGCAGGATACGTGGAGAACTTGGTAGCTTCACATGCTCTGATACACCACCTGAGGGAATGTACATCAGCTTAGAAGAGATAGTTTCACTACACTTCCTCTGAGATTCAAAGGATTAGGTTTAGGATTTGAAACATGAGAAATGCTAGTGTTCAAACCTGCAGGGTGCTGACTGAATCTCTGCTGATGGTTGTTTGGTACACTGCACACTGCCAGAGCGTGTTGATTCATGGGCATTAATGGGGCGCTTTTCACCATGTGCAGCTCTGGAAGTGGACAAACATGTCAGTGCTGGACGAAATTAATGTTAAGGACTCTGTGAATGTAAGGATGTCTCACCACGCTTGTGATTTTTCTCCCACGATTCCTTTAGAACTCCCATGTTGGGCTGGGAAGGGAGGGCACGTTTCCATGGCAATGCCTGCACTTCCCTCACAACGGCGGTTTTGACGATGGGTTCGGTGATGCGAACAGTCTCCGAGTTATGCAGTTGAGAGTTGCCGTGGGGCATTCTGGGACAGCGACCCGGACTATTAAACGTCTTCAGTCCATTGCCGGTTAGATCCACATAAAAGGTGCCATAGACGCCGCAGTTGTCTGGTACAATGGGGACGGCTGACCGCAGGGGGTTTGGCTCCTTTTTAGCCGTAATGGGCAGAGCTGTCAGTACAGAGGTAAAAATCAGACAGATTTACATAATGTGCCAAGATGTCAACAGTAATTAGAGTTGATGAGGACTTTAGGGGTGACAGGCATCTTTGAAGGTTCTCATGAGGACGTATCTGTCATCCAGAGAGATGACGAGAGACAACAAAAGAGGAGTCGATGAGGGTGTATGCATGGTGGGATGAAGATTTGGGATAAATAAAGTCAAAAAGCAATAGTTTAATGAAAAAATCGAATTTTGTTATCAGAATTTCACTGTATCGGAGGAGCATGAACATTCTTTAAAACATCTTCTTTTGTGTTTCACAGGTGAACAATTTCACTGTAACGGAGGAACGTGAACATTTTATAAAACATCTTCTTTTTGTGTCTCATAATGCAGACTCGGAGCAACATGGGGGTAAGTAATGATGACTTATGCATTAACTGTGACAGAATGTTCTTATAATTTTCACAAAACTTCTACGGCCCTCAGAATACTTTATTGTATGAACATGCAATATATCAAAAGAAAGAACAGAGCCTCTGCTTTTAAACAAAACTACATTCCTCATTTATTAACTCTTGAATGTGGGTACATTTCATAAAAAAATAAACAGTTTGAGCAAAAAGTGGAGAAAATCGGCTTCCCCCCCCAATGACTACAACGTGCATAAGCAATGCTTTTATAGCTCGTTTCTGCTCCTTTTTTGCCAGAGTTTAGATCCCGAGCTTCTCTTTCAAAAGTTGCATAATAGCGCGCCCTACTGTATAACACAGTGAAAACACGGAAAGCTGGAAAAGTCAATGGCGGGGAAGCGTTGTCTCATGAATGACTGAAAATTCTGTCAAAGGCAGGGAAAGAGTTAAGAAGATGCTAAGTTGTGTTTCAAATGGTAGTTTTGGTGTTCCAAGTTTTGAGTTAAAACTTAAAACAAAAGGGAAAGACTTACTGGTCCTCCGGAAGCCAGAGTTGTCCTGCTTCTGGGTCCAAAGGCCCTGCTTGGGCTCACTGCTGGAGTCTGGCCTCCAGCCTCCAGAGATCCACGGAGAGTCTGGTGCCGCCATTCTAGAAGAGAAATAATGAGGATGGTGACACAGTTACTTGTGGAAGCCAGTTTTTGCCACTTTAAAAAAAGGCCATGCAGTGGTAAATTAGAATTATGAGATTAAAAAAAGCATAATGATATAAATTGATATTATAAGAAAAAAATGCCATAAAATGTTGCAATTATTGTATGAATTCAATTATGAGATAGCCATAATTATGAGATAAAAAGACGAAATTAAGACACACTAAGTAGTAATTATGACTAAGTCTATGTCATATTTTATCACAGTTATGACTTTTTAACTCATAATTTCAACTTTTCAATCTCGTTATTTCGAGTTTTGGTCATTTTTGACTTATCTCATAATTCTGACTTATAGTATATCTTTTTTTGTTATAATTGTGATTTACAGAGTATAATTATTTTTCTTATCTGGAATTTAGTGGGATTATTTTTTACCTGTGTTTGATAATGAGATCTTCACTTTCCAGTCTATATAAGCCTATAAATGGAAGAGAGAATTATGATTGTATGATTATGAGCATAAAGTAAATAAAAAAAAAGAATTTAGATTGGGACAAATTTATAGATTACCTGAGCTTTTGCCTCTTAGGTTAGCAGGTCTGACATGTCTCCTGTACAAAAACAGGGCAGTAATCATCAAAACACACCACAGGAGGGTGCCAGCGCTTCCAATGAATACCGGCTCTTTAATCACTGCGAGGAAATGAGACATACTGAGCATGCCTGTCTGATGCGGTGCCGACTCCTGCTTCGACTCTGAGGGAAAAAAGAGAGCAACAGGTAACATACTGAGTAGGTTACAATTTAAAATTATACCTCAGTGTTATTTTATTAGCTTACCTATGAGCAGTTTGTATGGGTCGCTCTGGACCCCCACTCCCGCCCCGTTTACGGCAGCCACTGTGACCCAGTACAGGCTGCCGGGCTGCAGCGTGCTGATCTCAATACTGTGCGTTCCACTGTCCACTGTCCAGTTAAAAGACTTCAGTTCCTCAGACTCCACACACCACACCTGTCAGAAAGAACAGCATAGTAAAACATTAACGAGCAGGCTGCTACACATACTATTTATCTATCTTTTTATGTGATGTTTAGGCCAGTTTGATATAAATGATACCATATTAATAGACTAAAGCAGTGGCTAAAAATGTAATGGTACAGCATTCCCTGCTAGTAATACCTGATATCCCTGAATGATCCCATTGTGAGCATCATGAGGGGGAGGATCCCAGCTGAGGTGCGCGGTGTCGTTACGGTCAGTGGGCATTGTTATGGACACATCCTGAGGTGGTGCGCTGGGAACTGACAACAGGGCACATGGTTACATTTGGCACAAGGTGACACAATTTGGTTTTAATAGTTCTGTAGGATTTTTTTTTTTTACATGTTTTAAAAAGAAGTTTCTTATGTTCACCAATGCTGCATGTATTTGAAAATAGAGAATATATCAATGCATGTCCAAAAATACAGTAAAAACAGTAATGTAGAGTGAAATATTATTGTAATTTAAAATAACCGTTTTCTATTTTAACATATTTTAAAATGAAAGTTATTTCTGAGATGCAAAGCTGAAATTTCAGAATCATTACTCCAGTCTTCAGTGTCACATGATCCTTCAGAAATCATTCTAATATACATTTCTTATTATTATCAAGGAAATTGGAAATTATTATGGAAAGTGTGATGCATATTTTTCAGGATTTTTTTGATGGACAAAAAGTTTTAAAAGAACAACACAGAAGAAGTGAAACCAAAATCTTTTGTAACATAAACATCTTTACTATCACTTTTATTTAATTAATGCATCTTTGCTGAGTAAAAATTATTTTTTCTTAAAACTGTGGGACTATTTTTCCTTAAAATGTATAAGTGATCAAAAGAGTATGTACGATATAAGAAGTAAACAATGTAGGATAATTAAGTAACCACAATAATATTGTTTTTTGGGATGTCCTATGATATTACTATGGTATTGTTTAAAGTATCATGCAAATACTATGGTATATAATAATCATTAATACAGAGCTGCCAACTTGTGAGTTTAGCTTGGCGTAAGCTCTTTAGGACCGTGCCGTTAGGAGCTCAACACATCTGTCTCGCATTACAGGATATTTTAACTAATTTGCGGTAAAACTAGTCGATCACGGGTGGCTCAACTGGTAGATCTATAGATAAACTCATCTTTCAGGCATTTGACCGACCAGGTTGACACTTCAGCGTGAGAAATTGGGCTCAATTTACCGTAGATTCTCACCTATCTCTGGCACTCGTAAGTGTCTGGTGTTGCTCTCCCTGCCGTACAGGCTCCCGCCGTAGGGTCGGACTTTGAACTCGTACTTGTAGCCTCTCTTCAGAGGTCCCACATGGGTGTGAAGGCCAGGCTGAGGAACCCGTTGAGCTGTCCACTCTGAGCTGGCAGGCAGGAGAGAGCGATACAGCACCTCAAAGCCTTCAAGATAATGAGGCTGTGACATAGACGACTGCAACTACATACAGAAAGACAAGAGTTACTCAACAAAGTACAATTATTTGACGTGTGGTGCATGTTTTGTCAGGGATGAGCTGAACTGCTTTACCCTCCACATGACTTGAGACATGTTGGAGGCTGTGCTCATAACTGTGACGTTCTCCAGGCTCACACGTAAGGCAGACAGCTCCTTGTGTAGGTCTCGCAGTCTAGTGCTTCCTGTATCTGTAACATATATTAACCAGACATCGCTAATCTCAACAGGGTGAGTGGAATACAAATGGCATGCTGGGAAGTGGTTGAAGTGTGCATGCTGTTTTAGAAAAAAAGTGATTGACTGTTGTTGATCGAATAATTACTTGTACTCTTACCCTCTACAAGAAGCTGTGCGCTGGCCACAGACACCCCGAGCTTATTCTCTGCTGTGCAGGTGTACCTGCCCATGTCCTGAGCCGTCACATAGTGGATTTGCAAACTGTGGTCTGGGTTGATTAAATACCTGGCAAATGTGATTGTAAAAAGTGCTTAGGGATGTGAATCATAATTTCACAATATATTATGTTAATACTGGTCAGCAATTCTTATTTTTATGGAATAAAGTAATTTGGATAATTTGGTTCGCCCCCTGGTGGCTGGCTGCAGTATATGTCATAACCCCCACCTTCTCAATGTAATCAAATGGAATTCAAGAAATCAAATTATACTTCAAATGTTTTTTCTGAAGATGCGTTCTGTCATTTTAGGTAGGTCTTATCACGCTGGTATATGTTAAAGGGTTTTAGTGTGGTTTTAGTTAATTTGATGCTATAAAAGCGGAGTGATTGACAGCTGTGCGTGTGATTGAGTCTGTGGGAGTAGGATTTTTGATACTTGGTTGACTACTAGCTCGATACTAGGATCAGTACTGCGCGGACTCAGGCTTCAAATGACATCAGCAGCAGTGACTGTTTCTGGGATATTTTGGCTTCATTTTTGTACAGTGGAAGGAAGTGAAGACATGTTGTCCATCTTTTTTTACAGACTTTAGATCATAGCAACAGCAAACCACAACGATCCAATCAATCCTCATTTTTGTCTTGTTCGAAAAGCCATTTCACTCGGATATACGTCACAATAGGGAAGAAAAGACAATCGCAATGTCCATTTCGTGCCAACTTATGGTTGAATCCAGGACATAAAGATAAGCTAATTAATTTACTAAAACTAAGTCAACACTAAATAAGCATAAAGCAATAATGTTGGTAAAGTAATATGTAGTTTTACAGGACAAATCAAACATTTACAATTGATGGTTTGGCTGAGAGTTTGAAAAGGCCCTATACTTGATTCAGATTATTTAAAAGAAATGACTAGGTTTGTTTATTATTTTATGTATTATTTTCATTTATTACACTCTTAGTGCTTAATAAATGACTGTGGCCTCATAAAAACCTACAGGTACAACATTCAAATGATGTGGAAAGATCGATGGGTCTGACCTGCCATTGGGTAGAGGTCCTTGGTCTCGGCTCCACTCTACGGAAGGCATGGGGTCTCCGTCAGCCTCACAGTAAAACTGTGCTGACTCCCCAAGCTGCACTGAAACATCCTCTGGTTTACGCAATAACATTGGCTTAGCTGAGGAAGAATAACAGTGGCATTTTTGACATTTTAGAGCAAAGTGACAATGTATCACTCCGTACATTAAAGCACATTAACGGGGCTCACCTAATACAGACAGCCGAGCGGCGCGGCTTTCCCTCACTCCAACTATGTTTGAGGCTATACAGCTGTAAACTCCAGAGTCATTCTTCTGGGCTGGAGCAATTATCAGTTTGCCATTCAGTTCCTATATGAAGATAAGCAGAAATATATTGTGATCCAGGCACACAAAATACTTTTCAGGGTACTAAGGATTCTCTTTTTGTGTTATACTGCCCTCTACAGACATATACCAAGAATAGTTCTCAAGAAAAATATATTAAAGGGACAATATGTACTTTTTAATGTATTTTATTATTTAAAATCAATATTTTTATTCATAAATATGTCCTCCATGGTGTACAAATACCTCAGCCAATTATCTGACTCCTCCTCGTAAACGAAGAATTCATAATCTTTATATACATGGGATGGGTAGGTCCATGGAGGCTTCCATGTAGTTATAATAAACTATAATAGCAGAGAGGGACAAAAAGTGCTAGGCCAATGCGTTTTCGTTCAGAGTCTGGGTCACGTGACTGAACGCAGCAGAAGCGGAGGAGCAGAGCAGTGATAGGCGCTTGTCACGGCCCCGGCAAGTTTAAAAGGCTGCATTGCAAATCCTCGTCGCCAGAAAAGTCCAAAATAGATTGTAAAAGGAAACGTGACCGGAGATTACAACAAACACAAGTTAATGTCGGGATAGCTTTTTCCAGATGGATAGAGCTAAAGATTTCAAAAGAGACACTGAAGTCCTGCTTTCTTCTTGACAAGGCAAGTCAATGTTACAGTCTTAATTATAAGATTTTTTTTTGTTTTTCATTGTTTGGTTGTGTACTTTATTTTATAGACTGATGAACATTTATTGTTAAAAGTTGATGATGATATCTAACAATGCACATACTTCAGAAAATATAACGAACAAAGAAGGCATAACTACTTATTACAATGGTTCATGTTTTTCACAGTCAGTAATTCATACTCTAAGTGTAAAATAATGGCTACAGTAGATGCAATGCGCATTTGAAACAGCGAGGAGGTGGAAAGCTCAATTCGTTTGCACGTAAAATACATTTTCACCGCTATTTGGGAGCAATTCCTACACATTGTCCTTTTAACAGACAAGAAGTTTGAAAACAATGTCAAAATAAAACACATTTTGCTCTTACACTATAATGTTCATTGCTGCTGTTGATGGGGATCCCATCTTTCCTCCAGGTGACGTTGGGCTCAGGATGTCCCACGGGTGGGCTGCAATTCATCACAGCAACCTCACCAACCACCACCTCCACGCCACTGGGCTGCACACGGAAGTCCTCCCGCAGAGCTGGAAATAACACAATCACAATGATGTGAGTTTCATTAAACTAAATCTATCTATATAATACATTTTGTAGTGCTATATATAGTGCTAAAAGGTTAACATACAATACTGTTTAAAAGTTTGTGGTAAGATTTGATTTTTTAAAAAGAAATTAATACTTTTATTCAGCAAAGATGCAAAAATTACAGTTTTATAAAGTTACAAATCAGTCATATTTCAAATTAATGTTGTTCTTTTGAACTTTATATTAATCCTGAAATGCATCAAGGTTTCCAACAAAAATATTAAAACATTATTGAGGACCAAAGGATGATTTCTGAAGGATCATGTGACTGAAGACTGGAGTGATGGCTGCTGAAATTTCAGCTTCGCATCCCAGAAATAAATTACATTTTAATAGATATCAAAATAGAAAACAGTTATTTTAATTTGTAATAATATTTCAGAATTTTACTGTTTTTACTACAATTTGTTTCAAATAAACACCTTGGTGAGCATGTTTATATCAAAAACATTTTAAAATCTTACCGACTCCAAACATTTGAATGGTAGTCTAAATGCTAATTGCCAGTTGTGGTCAAAAAAACGAACAGAAATTCTGACAATCAGTTGCTACATTTCAGGAAAAAAAAAAAAATTCTTCATTAATAATGGTCTTTTGCTTTAGTAATCAGGGCCTATTGTCAACTCATCTGATGTAGCTTGTTTATCTAACAGATGAATCGATGTAAACAAAACGCAAATTCATTGTGTGCAACAATTGATTTAATGTCTCAATCAGGTCCTGCTCCAATCCAGTGGAATGCAGAGTAAACGGGCCTGCCGAGGAATCTGTTTGGGCTACAAACACAGCATGCTGTCACAGCTCAATTAGTGCTGTTTGTTTCGGGCAGGAATGCAAACGTTGACATCTGATCTTCAGTAATCTCATGGAACATCTCAATAAGCTTCCTCACCCTCTTGTTGCTTCAGAGCATTTAAGTAGGTCTTGACAGGTCACTCGTTTTTATCGGGGTCAAACAAGTGAGTTTATGTGGGAACTGACTGTGGAGATGTTTGTTTTGGACTCCATTGACTAATTTACAAAAAAATTTAAAATGCATTTGTCAAAATGTCTATGGTCATGTTCCACAAAACAACTAAGGCCCCATTTACACAGCATGATTCAAGTGACCCAAATCAGTTTTTTTCCTCCCATTTAAGCAGAAAAAAAGCACATGGATTCCGATTTTCTCAGATCGGATTCAGGCCTCACTCATATGCGGTGATAAATCGGATATGTGCATTTTGCGTGTGCCATGTAAGGAGACAAATCGGATATTCCCCAGTAAATGCGAGTCGTACGTCATTAAAAAAGTGACGTCACCACCAACTGAGATCACATGACTTAATATAGGCGGGATGGTGGACGGAGGATACACACAGTAGAGCAATGTGGAGGTTTCATGTCTTTTGAGTGTTTGGGGCGAAGGGTGCTGGCAAAAATGCAGGGTTGTTTACAGAAATAAATCCGTGTTTGAAGACATTTCACGAGATATGGGGAGGCGTGGTTTTAAGCGCTTGTGGCTACAGTGCCAACAAGGGCTCTCCTCTTTTTCTTCGCCTTACGAGACCAATGTTTTGCTGACTTTTTGGATGACTTTTCAAAATATTGTGGAAAGCAAAACACTGCATAATTTGATCAGCATCCATTGCATTTCGTGCTGTTTTACTCCCTTTTCCGGGTCAGAATGTCTACATTTTGTAGTTTCAGCAGTGTATAGTGTAAATGCAAAAATCGGATATGGGTCACTTTAAAAGATGATGTAAGCGGGTCGTCAAAAAAATTGGATATAGTCAGAAAATCGGATTTAGCCATCAAGACCTGCAGTGTGTAAATGCAGCCTAAATGCATATAGATTTAAAACAACATGACAATGATTTCATTCATTTTCAAGTGAACTGTTCTTTAAATATCAGGAAACATCCAAAGATCCTGATTCAAACCTGCTATATGAAGAGAGGCGTTTCTGCTGGTCGCAATCCCGACACTGTTCCGAGCAACGCAGGCATACACGGCTTCATGGGACTGACTCTTTCGGCCAGGGACGACGCTGAAGAAGAACAAACTTCCTTCTGGTAAAACGATAGGCTGTGATTGCGCATCCATCTTGTTTATGTCCAGGGGTTGGCCATTTCTGAGCCACTCAATGGTGGGCTCAGGGTTGCCCTCTGCCCTGCAGGATAGCGTGGCCGGGTTGCCCACCCGGACCACCACATCAGAGGGATGGTGGACAATACGTGGAAGGCCACTATCTGAAAGGAGCCTGGAACCTGGAGGACAGAAAATGAAGAATCAAACACCAGTGATATCCACTAAACAAATACACTGAACAAATCCCTGTCCTGAGAGCTCGTTGAATTCTTTTGTTTGGGATGGCCTGATGACCCCGAGATGAGTAAGGGAAACACATTTCCTGTACGGAGTCAGTGCCGGAGGCTGTTTTTCCCACTCTAGAGAGGAACAAAAGCCCAGCACTTACAAACAAAAGTCATAGACCAACAGGACATCCGTCACCTGTGTGCACCAAGCGCAGGAATGCCCCTCTGCTATTATTGGCCCAATTACAATGTCCTACAATGTCTCTTTGTACTCTCACGCCAAAACATGCCAATCACATGGCCATGAGAGGGTGTCCTTCCTTGAAACAAACAAAAAAAGCATTTGGTTTGGTCTTACAACAAGTCCTTGTTGTCTATCGGATTTGAAAAACATAAATTTTGTTGGTAAACATAAACTGAAATAAGCCAAGTATGCTAAGTCTGTTCCTGATGCATCAAAAGTAAACTAGGGTGAAATGCACAATGGACAATTTGAGCTCTACATTCTTGGCAAAATTGTGTTTGACTATAAAAAGTTTCTATTGTCTCTGATGGGGCAGTTTCCTGAAAGAGAGGAAACACGGTCTCACAGTCCTGCGATGTCATTTTCACTGTGGAGGAATTTGGGAGAAACACTTAAGTATGTAAAATAAATGCTGCACTTTAACAGTATATTGTGACATTCTAAATGAGCTTTGAGACTGTTTAAAGGAAACATTGGGCATAATTTAAAATGTTGTTTGCATAAATGTTGATTTTTATAAACAGCATTTGTTAGTATGAGGTATTTGTTAGCATGTAAATAATATTTCTTAAAATTTGGAGTAACATAAGTTACCTTATACGTTTAACATGTAACTAAATTAATAATATAGCTTGTGAAATGTTAACTTTTTTATACGATGATGGGGTTGAAAGGTATATAAGTTAACATTATAGCCCATTGTTTGAATAATAATCAACTTATTCGTTCTTAAAGGGAACATTGCATCGTAAAAAAATACAAAAAATATAGAAATACTTTAATCCAATTCAGTTATTATTATTGTAATTATATGTAGGCTATATTCCTATCGGTCGTATATATTTTTGTTGTAAAATTTATAAATATTATTCATCATAAACACGACGATAGTAAAAGACTGAAAAAGTTAGTGCTTACCTTCAATATTATAAATAATCACCAAAATCCAAAAGAGCTTGATAAAGTGTCTCGTCATATTACGTGTCACGTCGAATTAAGTTTATGAAAATTATCAACGCATCGTTCTACAGGTAGCCTATCGCAGTCATGTGTCTCTGTCGTTCCAGTCAGTATGAGAGTGTTGAACAGTGCGCCATCCGGATTGAGACCCGCCCCGGTGACTCGAGCAGCAGGACTCAGGAGTTGATGACATGATGACCGGAGTGTATTTACACCAGCGATAACTAATGCCTCTAACAATTGCTGAGGTAACGTAAACTACACACATGTGACGTACAGTTTCCTGAAGTCAAGCTTTTGCCCTCTGTTTTTGTTTTGGGTTTGAATTCAAGACGACATTGTTTTAATGGAACATCATTTGGGCCAAATTCAGTTAACGTTACTCATAAGGGAGAAGGAGGAGTGTTTGTTTCCATTATTTTTTTCTTCGATAGTATACAACGTGTCTCGAACCTTTTTCTTTTCTTACATGGCTACTAGCTAGCCTACTTCTAGACAACTTTTGTTGTGGTTGGTTGATAGTGATTTCCCTAATCTGTCAGCAATTTACTGTGATAAAGGTTTTAACAAATAATAATAATAATAATTCGTTACATTTATATAGCGCTTTTCTGGACACTCAAAGCGCTTCACATAGAAGGGGGGGATCTCCTCAACCACCACCAATGTGCAGCATCCAGGCACGTGCAGAGGGGGGGGCGTTGGGTGCTCGAGCACCTGCCCTTTTGCCCCTTGGTGCCCAAAGTGCCCTTTTGTCAAGACAAAATTTCCTCTCCTTTTTTTTGTATTTAAAGGCACTTTTGTCGATGCCTGCCCCATCTAACTAGTAGTAAAATGAATGAATAATAATTTAGCTGTAAATAAAATGACCCACATGATGACCTTTCACCTGATTCCTCACGCTGCACGCGCATTTTATAATTTCGCGCGGCTACGCGCAATCGCGCAATCGCGCATTCCCAGAGGATATCTTCAAGTCTTGCGGCTGCTGGTAAGTGGTGTTCTATTCTCAGCGAAGTGATTTTGATGTTTGTTTACTTATTATTATTATTTTACTAGAACGACGTGAAGAGAGCATGCAGAGAGATGTTGTTTGTATTGATGTGTGTAGGCTGTAGAAGTAACGTTAGCTTGCTGTTTGAGGGAGAAAAGTTTCACGGGCGTGGAGGGGTGTTATTTGACTAAAAACTATTATTTTTACTTTAAACTATTATTATTATTACAGTATTTATTAAAAAAAATATTTTCACATAAAAATGATTATCACAACTCTGGTAAGTTATCACATAGGCATACCAGTTAGTATCTTATGTTTTGTGTGCAGAAGCCTCTGTGAACATCTGCCCTAGTAACGTTATTATTATATACTATTATTGTATTATATACTTTAGCAGCCTGGGTAGAATCTGTAGCTTTAGCAGGTCAGTGAACTAGTGAGCCAGTTCCAAACACTGTCAGCAATCTTTACATCTTGGAATGGTCTTTACATCTTTACATCTTGGAATCATAAAAATGGTTTATTCAGCTAATACCCTATATTTCTGTTTATTTTAATGTCTACAGTCTCAGATCAACTCCAGCAGTATCAGCAGCAGCAGTAACAACATCAACAGCAAAGGCAGCAAACTCACTTAAGGACTTAAAGTAAGAATTTACCAGAACAGGCATCACATTAATGTTAAAAATCTTGTAAAGTATTAATTGCTGTTTCTGTTTGCTTTGTTTTTTATTTTCATTGTATAAAATGTAACTCTTGTATTTTTGTAAATCAGTTTTTGCCATGAAAAAAGCCACAGATGCTGATATTCCATTAAATAAAACTATACTGTACTGCACGAAACATGGGCCACGTTGATTTTGTCCTACAGTTCACTATAACAGCTGTTCTTTATTATTCTGTATAACAGAGAAGAAAAAGCCATCAGGTTGGAACAACTTAAGATGCTTCAGTTTCTAATCCCAGAGTTATAGATAGAGCACATCAATTATTTTTTTTAATTTTAAACTTTAAATTTGTCTTTTCTGTTCTGGTTCTTTTTCAAAACTGCATCAATGCATTTGCTGCTGTATCGATGCAGAATCATCTGTATTGAAATATTACTGTATTGATATTTTGAGCACAGCCCTATAAAGCCTTGTTTCCATGCCCCATTTTATACTTTGAGCACCTGCCCCTACAGAGGTCTCTGCACGGCCCTGGCAGCATCCACCTGGATGATGCGACGGCAGCCATATTGCGCCAGAACGCTCACCACACACCAGCTTACTGGTGGAGAGGAGACAGTGATGAAGCCAATTGGTGTATATGGGGATGATTAGGAGGCCATGATGGACAGAGGCTACTGGGCAAATTTGGCCAGGATGCCGGGGTTACACCCCTGCTCTTACGAAAGACATTCTGGGATTTTTTATGACCACAGAGAGTCAGGACCTCGGTTTAAACTCTCATCCGAAGGACGGTGCTCTTTTTGACAGCATAGTGTCCCCATCACTTTGCTGGGGCGTTAGGACCCACACAGACCACAGGGTGAGCACCCCCTGCTGGCCACACTAACACCTCTACCAGCAGCAACCTGGCTTTCTCAGAAGGTCTCCCATCCAGGTACTAACCAGGCTCAGCCCTGCTTAGCTTTAATGGGCAACCAGTCTTGGGCTACAGGGTGATATGGCTGCTGGCTATGTCTGTGATGACAGCATAGAGAAACAGGAAAGCATTAGACCTCACAGCCAAGATTTTTTTTTTTTTTATGAATATACATTTGCTCTAAATTTCATATTAGCCAGTCAAAAAAATTAAAAATCAGCAACAAATCAGATTTTTAAAAAACTTAAGAGAATAGAAAGTTCCCAATGCTCAAGTCACACAATAAACTTTTTCTTCCCAATTAAAAAAACAAATTTGTCACTTAGATTAATACGTTTCTTAAAGAATATTCATCAAAGACAAAATAAAAATGAATCAAGAAAGTTTACAAAAGTGAAAGCTAAGCACAGCTGTTACTGTAGAACTAAAACAACACTGAGGGGCAACACTTGCTAATTCCAATTACTATTAAGTCTGTGTAAATACGGTCGCTGAGGGGGTGAGACGGAGTGAGAAGAAAACAGAAAGCGAAAAGAAAAGAGAAGAGAGAAAAGCAGAGGCGGCGGCAGTTCATTTTCTCGAAAGCCACATATAAATAAAGTGTTGTTAGAGAACTGTCCATTGTGTGGCCTAAAAGAGCAAGCCACACTGATGGACACGTATATTGATCCAGAGAGCAGTGCCTTGATGGCCCTGTGGATCACCAGCTTTCAGCGACTAACAAAAGATGTTGAGGGACTATGGGGCTGCATACCACAACACAGAATTAAAGCTGCACCGCAAAAGAAGCCCAGGCTGATTTAGCACTTAGACTAACTTTTCAGCACGTTTTACTCATAAATAATTCTCTTTGAATTTAATTTCTTAAGAGTCCGAGTATGAGCTTAGCATTATTTATGTACAAAACTGTCTCGAATAAGGAATAAAGCATGCTTTTAGTAACAAGTGTTTATATATATATATATATATATATCAGTTGGGAGGATTTTTTTATTTTCATAGAATAGCAAAGGAAGAAGAAATTTATCCAATTTTTCCTCTTGTTCATCACTTTCCAAAAGTCAAACAACATCAATTATTCAACAAATCATTCGCAAAGTTTTCTTGGATTGCCATCCACTAAAAGGTCAAATATACCATAAACTACACCAACTAAAGTTTTTTAAACAGTGAAACTTCAAAATAGTCACGTAAATGCAACACAATACAGTACCGTAACGCTAACGTAATGAACCCTTCATGTTTAAATTAAATTAACGGTGACCACAAGTGAAAATCATGAAGTGAAAAAAAGACTTTATCAAGTTATCATTGTCTTTCTGATTTCATGCTTTGGACCCCATGCTGATATGCCGAGAGAGCGGCTGCCGAAACCATTAGATTCTGAATAACATTACAAAAGTGATAATTTTTTTATACAGATTTAGACATTTAAATGATTATTCTTCAACAAAACATCTGTTTATGAGTAGAATCACGATTTGACATCGTTATTGGTAAAAATCCATTGGTTTTACCTTTCCTGCGATGGGCCCTCTCCCTGTGTGATGCCCGCTGGTGTGCCAGACGATGGCGAAGGTGCCCTCTTCCCTCTGACCTCTGTGCCACCTGCTCGTCAGGTAGGCATGCGCACTGGCATTGGCAATGGCGCGCCGCCTCGGCCCAGGTACACAGCCATGCCACCCACAGCAGCCATGCTGACACCTGCATCTTCAGCTTGAAGCTCCTCTCCTCTGGACTTGCACCCTCCACTACACCATCCCAACTTCCCAACTGTGGCTAAGACCGATCCACCCTTCTCCCCACAGTCCTCGCGGTGCTAAATTATCGAGAGATTATTATAAAGAATGTTTTTCTTTATAATCCACAAATGCTTTGTATTTACTTTCCCTCCCTCCTTTATTAAGCGCTCCCTCCGCTCTCTCCCTCCTCTTTCTCGCCTCGCTTCTCTCTTTTGGGAAAGAAGTTGGCGGAAACAATGATTGAAAAACAAGTTTCAGGCCCCATGCTGGGAGCGCGGGAGAGGAGGAGAGGGACGGGGACTGTCTCCTCCAACAACATCTGTGTCATTCGTTCTGCACGTCCCAAAGAAGGAAAACAAGGCCCGGGAGTGAACGGGGAGGATCTCCCATACCGAAAGGGATCAGTTCCATTAATCAAGTGTCTGCTAGTTGACTGATCAAATCCTTCAGAGTGACATACTCTCGCGCACTTTAAACATCAAACGGGTGAAAACCCATTGCCTGACCGCCATTGGCTCGTACCACAAAAGGCGAAGCAGACACCCTTCATTTCTGCATCAAGCTACTCTCTCAAAGGCATGAGAGAGGGAGTGTTTTTAAACAAAACTGACCCTCTCCAATAGCTTTGGCTGCTCGTCGGTCATGAAAGGGATGGCTTTTGTTTGAGGGGATTCTCACTTTCTCAACACAATTACTATTTTACGCTAAGAAGAGAGGTGAGCAGACCGAATTGCTAATGCAACTGGAACGTTCTCATTTGTCGAAGTGAAGACGTTTCGCTCGCAGTGGAGATCATTTCGATTTTCACACTTAAACATTTCAATTATTGGACAACAGAAACCTAGTTGAATTTGATTACTGAGTAGCAAAGAGAATGTTCCTTTCTTCCCTTTTGGTTCACATATGTTCAAAGATTTCACCGTTCACAGAGCAAAGAGCAGAAAAGGAGAAATTTGTTCCTCTTTGCGTGCACAGTATGTGTTCCACCCATCACAGAGGTTGAATCAAATGGGACTGAGAAAGCAATTTGTCTCATGCAGTTTGGTCTTGTGTTCCACTCACCAGTCCTGCTGCTTCAGCATAGAAGAACAGAAGAAACATGCTGAGTTAACAGACCTGACCATTAATTTCACAAATCTCCCAATTTGACTGTAAGAATATGGACTGATGGCATATTACAGGTTGTGCAATACTATTGTTTTTACTCAAATTTCAGTGTCAGGCAGTTTCTGCGAATAGGGCGAAAGTTGTGTTTTGACCTTAAAATGCTCTTTCGATGTCGTTGGTGCTCTTAAATGGATAGTGCACCCAAAAACGAAAATTAAGTCATTAATTACTCACCCCCATGCTGTACCAACCCCAGATATTTTGGATTAAATTTGAGAGGTGGATCACTGCTACATAGGCTCCTAAGGGAACGAAATTTGACGGCCCAGAAAGTCATTGAAGAAAATGTTTAAATATTCCATGTGACTACAGTGGCTCAACTATAAGTTTATCAAGCGACGAGAATACATTTTGTGTGAAAAAACAAACAAAAATAACGACTATCCCTTTTCTTCCTTGTAGGCATGAGACGAGAGTTCAAGAGATTTCCACGACGCATGAACAGTTTGCACTAAAATTGTCTTTTGGACCTTGAACCGTTTGGTTCCCATTGAAGTCCATTATATGGAGAAAAATCCTGGAATGTTTTCATCAAAAACCTTAATTTCTTTTCGACTGAAGAAAGAAAGACATGGACATCTTGGATGACATGGGGGTGAGTAAATTATCAGCAAAAGTTTTTTTCAAAAGTGAACTACTCCTTTAATTGTTGTCCACAAGTCTCTTATGATCTATTCACTTTCATTATATTGTATGTAAAGAATGGACAGAATATTCTGATACTTTTTGAGGAAAGTTATACCTAAAAATAAACATTTAACAAAAGTCCCCATAGACTTTTATTGCAAGTGAAAAGTGCATTACCGTCATTCAGCCGCTTCTCAGAACGAATGAATTTTGAATAAATGAGCATTGAATTTTATGTGGAACAAGTCCCTAAACCAAATTTACCATTATCAGATTTCATTGACCACCCATATTGCAAACCTTGGAATATGACCTTGGAATCAAAGACTATTCAATTGTTCATTTAATGTTCACTTCTCACTGTACCCCCTACCAGGTAGCGGGTCATGTCAAGTTACCCTGGTCAGTGCCCAAAAGAGGCCACGCTTCAGCCCTCCATGGGGTGTCAGAATGTCCCCACAAAGGGCTATTCCAGCTCACGCTGACCCTTAAACTGTGCCTTATTTTTCAATGCAGGAGGATGGAGACTGCACTAATCTTCCTAAAGAGAGAGATCGAGATGAAAAAAATAGATGGAGTAAAAAAAAATAAGTCTTTGAGGAGACATTTGACGGAGTTGTTCACTTTAAAAACAACATTTGCTGATAATTTACTCACCCCTATGTCATCTTTCTTTCTTCAGTCGAAAAGAAATTAAGGTTTTTGATGAAATCATTCCAGCATTTTCTCCATATAATGGACTTCATTGGGAACCAAACGGTTCAAGGTCCAAATGAGAGTTTCAGTGCAGCTTCAAAGGGCTTTAAATGATTCCAGACGATGAATATTGTCTTATCTAGGACCCTTCGAGTCATGACTCGAAAAAAGATTTGTTCATTTTGATGAACGAGTTTAAACAGGAGAGTCACACGAATGCTCATCACAGAACAGAGAAAGGCGAGCATTTGTGCTTATAAAACGTAAACTTTTTAATTTATTTTTTTAAATAACCGATTCACTAGATAAGACCCTTATTCATCGTCTGGTGTCGTTTAAAGCCCTTTGAAGCTGCACTGAAACTCTCATTTGGACCTTGAACCGTTTGGTTCCCATTGAAGTACATTATATGGAGAAAATCCTGGAATGATTTCATCAAAAAACGTAATTTCTTGTCGACTGAAGAAAGAAAGACGTGGACATCTTGGATGACATGGGGGAGAGTAAATTATCTGATTTGGTTCTCAAATCAAAGCAGATTTCGCTGATTTATAGTTTCAAAAGAACCGCACTTATTTAAAATTCTTTTGTAACACTATAAATGTCTTTATTGTCACTTATCAATTTAATGCATCCTTGTTGAATTGTATTTTTAATTATTTAATTGAATCACTTGAGTAACAAATATACAAATTTAAATGAGAAATTTCAGGAAAAAACAAATATTTGCTATTGTTGTGAATTAAAAAAATGTAAATTATATAGTTATTTTTTTAAATATACAAAAAATACATACAACGATGAAGATATTACTAATAATAATAATCAAATGGCTTTATTTTCCAACCCCTTGCAGATCCATAAAACACAATTGAGTTTAAGTTAATTTTATTTTTATTTATCCACTTTAGCTCCCACATTTGACCTCACCCGAACCCACACCTATGACTGACCCGAGACATTTTGCATCCCACAACAACCAACAGGAATTGTGTTGATAGACACAGTTTTCCTTCACAGATTCCAAAGTGGAACAAATTACACGAGAAACATTTATCCAACACCGTTTAGATGAAAAATTCTCAGGGATGGAGTCGGGGGTGAAGGGTGGGCTTGTGGAGCACAGAGATGGAGAATAGAAGGCCAGGGGTGTGAGGGCAAAAGTTCTGCTTGAATGGATCACAAAGCAGGATCTAGTGTTCAGCCCATCCCTCCCCCATCTCCCGCGAGCCTCGCTAGCACCCACACCCATATCCTGGGCCGCTCTTACACCTCTCCGGCTCTGCATCCCCCTTTTGCTTTCTTTCTCTCTCCCTCGTTCTTACTCTCTTTGTTTGTCCAGCTGGCTGCCCTACAAAGCCTCCAGCTCAGACTCCCAATGAGCCCTGCTCCCTTCGATGCTTTGTTCTGCCGTTTTTCCCACTCCCTGGAGAGAGAGAGTCACTACCAGCATGGACAACGAGAAGGGTTGAGGAAAATGACAGGAAGAAATTGAAAAGAAGCAAAAATAAGTCAAGTGTGGTTGCAGTCAGCGATTACACATTAGCGAATCTGTTATGTAATGTCATTTCTCAGCCACCTGTCACTTCTTCCACACAGATGGCTTAGAGCTTCCTTGTTTCATAGGATAACTATATAACATTGCTTATCATAAACGTTGCAGTATTTACGTGACTTCAAACTGATTGTCTTCTATAAACACATTGGTTTTCTTTTCGAAATGACTATTTTCAAAATGAAGGTTAAGCATCTTGTATGTTATTATACCCCACTTATTGAAGGCGTTCAGCGTGTCTGTGATCCTTTGGTTCGATTACACAAACCGTTTCATGTACCAGTCCATCCGTCCGGTAGCCTGTTTCTCAAGCTCTGGTAGATCTCCGGCGATCAGCTTGCAGAAAGGCCTCAGTGTTGCGATGTGGGCCGGAACTAATAGGATTGGATTTGATTCATTAGATTCTCTTTCATCGCACTGGTTGGAATTTCACTGCACGTCCTGCCGGACTCCCCACTTTTAAATGAGGATCGCACGAAGACCTCAAGGGTGAGAGCTAGCGCGACTGAGACACGGCCTCGCCTCGCTTCTTGCTCACATTCCCACAATCTCCCTGCATAAGAACCTTCCGGATAGATGAGTATATGGGATGATTTCCAGGATATTCCAAGTTTGTCAGCATTCAACTGGTTGCTTTTCTTTGCTTTGTAATGGACAAATGTGTAGGTTCTACTGTGGACTATTATTGTCGTGTTTGATTTGACACACACATTTGATCAACTAACATGTTGGAGCTTGTTATTCATTGTCTTCATGCTGTAAGGATCACAGCACGCGTACAGCGCGCCTGTGAAAATAAGCAGCAATATTGACGTCCACCTCCCTTGTGAAGTTTGCCTCCCAGAGAGATTTATGAAAATGAAAGTAAACGTCTGAGGCAACAAAGCGCCCACACGGAGTATTCGCCTTGTTAAGAACACAATAATCAATTTTCACAGCTTGAAGCTTTGTTGGACCGCCCAACTTTGCTCCCTTCATCTTTGTGGCATTGTGCGGAGAGTGAGAGACTGTGTCTTAGAGAATGCTTCTATAAGGCCAAAATTAGCATGTCAATATGGGAGCGGGTAAAATGAAATTTGTCTGGTTTGACCTGTGAATGAGTGAAATTCCAGTTTGCAGATTATCAATTAATGGATTAGAATGTGAATTCAGTGCATTGAAGGGACCAAATATATTCACTGATTATGACTGGCTCAAGTGCTTTCCGCAGTGTAAAACGTATGCCATTGTGATGCAGTTAGACAGACTAGGTCATTTATATGTCCAAATCATCATCACCCCATTCCTGATCATTCTAACATACATGATTTGATTCATATGAAACTTAAACAGAAACGCCCTTGCCCTCAGAGTAATTGGACGTGACTGTGATTACAAGAGGTAAAAACTATATAAATACAGTTCGTTTTCTCACACAAACCGCTCGTTTCGTGTCTTAGGCCATCAATATGTTCTTGCATTTACGAGTCATTAAATCATTTTTAATTTGGACTTCTCTGTGTATTCTCTTTGAGGTGGTGACCATAGACCTCCATTATATGAGTTTGACCTAAAAATTGAAAATACCGTGGAAACAAAGACACCTACATCTTGGATGCCTTTGAGGTAAGCTAAAACATATCACAAATTAATTTCAAAGTGAACTATCCCTTTAATACTCAGGGTTATGGGTTTTTGGAGAAAAAAAAAAACTTAATCCTATTAGCAATAGTAATAGTGATGCTTCCTCAGCAAACACCAATAATTGAAGAAATTAACAAACTGGAATTTTGAGAAAAATAGATAGTATTCTTTTTAACAGTAAAATACACAAAATTACGAAATTGCAACACAAGCCTCAGAGAGAAAAAAAGTTCTTTAATTACACATCGAACCCAACCACACCCTCCTAAACACTTGCAATGCACAGGCCAGTCTATGTTGTGCTCTCAGAGAGATGTGGATGTCTCTGATTTGGACAGAAAGACAAAAGCTCTGGAACCTTCTGCTGTCCTCTCATCTCAAGCGGGGCTCGTTGACCGACGGCGCTGCCAGGTTGGCTGCCCTGCTTTGGGATATATCTGTAGGAGTTTGGCACATGAAGCCTCACGGTCTAGTGTGTTCTCAGGGGCTTGGCATACACGGGGTCCAGGAAATGTAAGGGCAGCAACATGAACAGGGCTGCCAAGAACACCACACTCACCAAGGACAGGAGCACGTATCGGCCGATGAAGAACATATCCACTATCTGAAAAACATCACAGGCTTACGTTGTGAATTATTCAACATATTATACACTTACTGCAAAGTAATTAAAGCCATGAGGGCTTTGATGTGTCCATTCATATTTTTGAATGAACATGAAATACATTTAGTATGTTCTGCTTTTCTCCACTAGAGGTCAGCAGGGTTCTTTTAAGAAATTCTGACTACAACCTGAGGCACAGCAGTAGACCATAACACAGAACAAGACACTATTAAAGTGCCATAAAGACAGCTTTTTTCGCAAAATGATCTTGAGAACAGAATTAAACTAAAAATACAAACATTTAAACATCAATTTTAATAAGAAATACCAGAAAGATGCCTAAAAAATTGAGTACTGGCTTGTTTTGTCATCACATGCATAAAAATATATTAAAATAAAAACAATTATCAAATATAAAACATTTAATACATGCAAACTAAATCTATCTAAGGTAATACCTGATACCTTATATTTGACTAAATGTTTGTTTCATATTTATGTAGCAGGATTTACCCTTATTAGCATACTGTCAGAAAACTATAACTTTCTTGTCATTATTTCTTACTCCGCTGTCTGTTTTTCCTCCATGTTAGAATTAAAGCTGAACAGGGTGATAGTGTTGAATACTAATGACACTCAACATCCCTACGGACCTGAACTAGAGTGTGAGGCCTAAATCATGAGAGAGGCCACAACCTACATTAAACTACAGACAGAGGGATGTCTATGCATGTGTATGTGGGAGGGGGCTCTGTCTCCAGCGAATGCAGTGTTCTCTCGTTTAACGCATCTCACTTTCTAATTTGCCAATTAGCTGGCTAGCGAAGCACAGAGCAGAGGCCATGTTTTATTAATGTGGCATCGAATGCGCGACAGTGAGCTCCTGTTTGGGCCCGGCCTAATTGGCACTGTGATATTATTCCTTTGTACAACAGCGAGGGGTTACCCGTTTCTCATACAACACTGTCACCTATCAAGAAAAAAAAAACTATTATCTAGTCACACCCGCTGCAAGCAAATCAGCAATGGGTGTAACGTGGATTTGGCGTTATGCACAAATATGCATGCTTATAGCACTAACTAAATGAGAGACTTTGTTGCAACAGGAAGACTTTTTTTTATTTATCTTTCTGCTGTTCCAATATAGGCAACCCTCAGACCTTGCTTATATTCATAATATTCATAACTAACATACATGGTTTCTAAACGGTGCTTGTTGACATCAGAAAATGTAACCTAACACCTCAAACCTGATTTGTAAATCTGAGAACATCTTTTGCGAGATATTACAGAAATTAACCTGTGAGATCTCAAGTCTGTGAACCAAAACAACAAATGTAATCTTTTTCAAGCTGAGATCAGCAGGTAATATCATCATTTTGAGTTGAAAACCAGAGAATGTTTGATTCGGTCAACATGTTTCCGTTCTGCTATTGAAGACTGAAAGGTAAATGCTTTGTTTTTTGTTTGTGCAGACAAGAGGGTGGCTTGGCAGCTCAGAGCGCTGGTTTTGGCAAAGGCAGACTTTAGGAAAAAGCTGTTGTGTTTGTGCTTGTCTGCTGTTGAGAGATAAACTAGCACATGCCTTTTTTTTTCAAATACCGGTGTAACTCACACAATTCACGCATGAATGTCAGAATTCAGTAAGTTTACAAAATGATCAAATCACTCGTACATGAACTTTCCATTAAAAAAACAATTAGCAAGTATAGGAGAATTCAGGATATATTGCTTGTTCAACTGCTTGTTAACACAAATATCTACAGTAAGCAGCCAATCACAAGGCAGCAACTCAATGCATTTAGGCATGTAGACATGGTCAAGCCGATCTGCTGAAGTTCAAACTGAGCATCAGAACGGGGAAGAAAAGTGACTTTGAACGTGGCGTGGTTGTTGGTGCCAGACGGGCTGGTCCGAGTATTTCAGAAACTGCTGATCTACTGGGTTTTTTATGCACAACCATCTCTAGGGTTTACAGAGAATGGTCCAGAAAAGAGAAAATATCTAGTGAGCGACAATTTGTATGGGCTCACCGAAATTGGACAATAGATGTAGCGGGTGTAACAGCATGAAAGCATGGATCTATCCTGCCTTGTATCATCAGTTCAGTCTGCTGCAGGTGGTCTAATGGTGTGGGTATCTCTACCAACTGAGTATCATTTAAACACCACAGCCTACCTGAGTATTGTTGCTGATCTTCTGATGGCTACTTCCAGCAGAATAACGCACCGTGTCACAAAGCTCAATTAATATCACTATTAATTAAGTTCACTATACTCAATGTCTACCACAGTCCCAAGATCTCCTATAGAGCACATTTGGGAATCATGTGGTGGAACTGGAGATTTATGAATCTTCTGTTTCCAGGATCTTATTGAATCTATGGCATGCATATTTATGGTAGTTCTGAAGGCAAAGGGGGTACAATAAAGGTGTACCCACCCAATGGAAATGACTGATAAATCTACGATCCACTCACCTGAACTGCTCTCTCGGGCGAGGGAACTTCAGGTGCGCGAGGGAAAAAGACTAAAACCAGTGTGATGGTGAGCGCCAGAAGAAATATAGGGATGATCCCTAACCTGGTGAGGTAATAACATTGTGATTATTCATGATAAAATACTACAGAACAATGCTGATGCAAGTTCTGTGTCGAAAACATAAAAGTAGCCTATGTTCTTACTTGGTTGGGCCGGTTGCGCGCGACAGAATGATGGCGAGCACGAGAGTCACTATCCAGGTTAAAGCAATGATAAACACACCTATCCCAACGCCCAACACCACATCGGCCATCCTCACCTCTCACGCTGCGAGTGCCTGCCTTGGACGAGTGAAGTATCTTTTGTTTTGCTTTTAGGCAGTGTTTATTATGGCTGCTCGCGCTGAATCCGCCAAGTCTTAGGCTATATCAAATCGATGTTATGAACGCAAACCATGAGGCGCGTACATCTTAAAACCGCTATTAGTATAAATATACTGTTAGTACGATGTTTTTACTTAGTTCTACTTACATATTACGAAGTAAACGGTGAAAACATGCAGTTCATCAAAAGTACGTGCTTAAACTAGCAAACTAATCCATTATAAACACTGTACGGCTAAGCAGTTTGTATATTTACATAATAAAACAACCAAATGACGAAACCAGCAACGTAATTCTAAATAATATATTGATTTACGCCCAGATGCATGCTGCAGAAAATCTAAAATATTTCCATGGAAACCCAGTCGCTTCTGTTTATCTCTACACTTCCTGTGTCGCAAATGGACCAATCAAGTTGTAGTATCGGGCGAGCAGTATGCTGGGAGTTGTAGTTTTTCTGAATACTGGGCACACTAGAACCAAATAGTAAACACATTTAAAATGTAAAATTGAAAATGTAGGCTATGTATTTGTATGTTTGACCACGTGGCTTTTCTTCCTCTTGCACAAATAACAAACATTTTTAAGTAGGCTACAATCACCTTGGCTGTGTGAGTAATTTCAACTTAAATTACATTGACTTAAAAAAATGAGTTGAATCTCGTAGCCTATAACTTAAAAGTTGAATACATGTAAAAAACAAACAAACATTTGTTGTCATTACTGATAATGTCATTTTTAGTTTGTTTTACAGTGTCTATTTCCCCTCTGCTTTCCAACTACTAACAGCCAAGGCGACCTGCAGCCGAATGTAAGTCTCATTTGATGTCGATAGGTGGCCAGCGGGCTCCACCGTTAATGAACCGGAGATGCGCGTGCAGGTCCCGGGGTGTTCGGTGTATACGGCACGGAATAATGCCAGTGGAAGAAGAACCGCGGAGGTCTACACTCGGTAGAGAGGGGTACGGGGAGAGAGAGAGAGGGAGAGAGGAGGGGGGAGATGGTGGGAGGGGTCTGACATGACAGACGTCACGGCTTGTGTAGGGGAGTATAGGCTGTGTTGTCAGCCTGGTGTCAGTCTGATGAAGATTGGCATTCAGGTAAGCTGTCATTCATTTTCAATGTCAGAGCGCGGAGCGGGCGAACACTCCAGCCTGTTTTTTTTCCCTCTCGCTCTCATTACAAAAGGCAGGACATTATTCATACAGACTGGCCGAGGGCTGAGGGGAGAGAATGATAGACAGAGAGGGAGAGAGAAAGTGAGGGAAAGAGAGGGAGAGAGAGAGAGAGAGTGCGTGAGTGAGCGGGAGGGAGGAGGAAGAGAACGAGTGTGTGATAGAAGGAGGGAGGAAGAGAGGAAAGACCGTAGAAGATGCCGTGCAGTTTGGGGAGCGCGTCTTTGTGGATGAATTTATGGTGGATGATGCGTTTGGATTTGAGAAATGTGGTGGTAATTTTTGTGTCGACATTTTTTCGTTGGGATTTAAAGGGCGTTTTGCAATTTTGTAGCGATAC